ATGTGGCCAGCATGACTAAGCCGCTTCTGGCAAACAAGAGCAGCGCACGGAAACGCCGTTTACCTTCCCGCCAGAGTGGTACCTATTTATCTACTTGCACTTTGACATGCTTTTGAACTGCTAGGTTGGCAGGAGCTGGGACTGAGCAACGGGAACTCAGCCCGTCACGGGGATTCGAACCGCCGACCTTCTGATCGGCAAGTCCTAGGCTCTGTGGTTTAACCCACAGCGCCACCCTAGTCAGGCTGTTAGAGGGGACCAAACTCCTTCAAGCAAGGCTTTGGGAAGTGCCATTTAATGCCATGTGCAGTTTGGCCTAGAACATTAAGCTTGCATCCTAGCTAAACGTCTTTGCACCGGTTCCCTCTTTGGGCACAAAATGGAACAGGGTTGTGCAGTGTCTGTCTGTGCGATTGACAGGACATTTGAAGCCTCTGGATTGGCCAGGCCTGCTATCCATTCCAGGACCTGCCCTTGTGTGGTCAATCAAGAAGCATCTCATTCGTGCAGCACTTCAGTGACTCCAGATCCAGCAGTACAGAGCGAGAGACCTGGGCCTGAAAAACACCCTTTTAGTACCTAGATTTGGAGATAGCTGCCCACACCCCAAGGCTTGCCCTGACAGCAACAACCAACTGGCAATGCAAGGGCCAGCAATAGCTCAGCTGGTTAGAGCAGGCTTCTTCAACCTCGGCCCTCCAGATGTTTTTGGCCTACAACTCCCATGATCCCTGGCTAGCAAGACCAGTGGTCAGGGATGCTGGGAATTGTAGTCTCAAAACATCTGGAGGGCCGAGGTTGAGGAAGCCTGGGTTAGAGCATGGTGCTGATTATGCCAAGATTGCAGGTTTGATCCCCCTTTTGGGACAGATGCGTATTCCTGCAATGATCGTCAGGGTCCCTTCCAACTCTACAATTCTAGAGTATACCTGAAGGAGCATCTCCACCCCCATTGTTCAGCCCGGACACTGAGGTCCAGCTCCGAAGGCCTTCTGGTGGTTCCCTCCCTGCGAGAAGTGATGTTACAGGGAACCAGGCAGAGGGCCTTCTCAGTAGTGGCGCCCGCCCTGTGGAACTCCCTCCCATTAGATGTCAAGGAAATAAACAACTATCTGACTTTTAGAAGACATCTGAAGGCAGCCCTGTTTAGGGAAGTTTTTAATGTTTGATGTTTTATTGTAGGCTTCCTCGACCTCGGCCCTCCAGATGTTTCGAGACTACAATTCCCATCATCCCTGACCACTGGTCCTGCTAGCTAGGGATCATAGGAGTTGTAGGCCAAAAACATCTGGAGGGCCGAGGTTGAGGAAGCCTGCTTTATTGTGTTTTTAATATCCTGTTGGAAGCCGCCCAGAGTGGCTGGGGAGACCTGGCCAGATGGGCGGGGTATAAGTAATAAATGATGATGATGATGATACTGGTACTATGATCTGACCACCGCCAACCCTACCAAATATCATCAGAGGTAGAGTTAAAAAATGCCACAGTTTTATGATGACATTTCAAAAGGCTGCAGGAGACAGATGTGATAACTGCAGTGAGTAAACTCTTGGGGAAAGTTGAACCGTTTAGTGAATCAGCTGTTCAGGGAGAGTGTTTCGCAATCAACAGATCTATTTCTTCTGCCCTTGCCTCGCTGCGTTCAGTGACTGCCACAGAACAAGGGGCTGTCATGAAATCTGAGATTTAGAAACGGACGGACTCTTTACAACCAGCCCTGGCAAAAGTTTGAGTGGAGGCAACAGGGAACAGGGGATGAGCTTTCTGGAGCTCAGCCCATCTCCAGTGAAGGCGTTTTGACAGATCCGATCCTGCCTATCAAATTAGCTGCGCTTGCCAAAAAAGCTCTTAAGTCAGGGGACCTCAGAACAGAAATATTTTTTTAAAAAAATCACCGTTTCATTTACAGGGTTCTTGACATGGTGGAGGCACGACTGGGAGAGATGTGCTCAAAATAACTCCTGGCATGGTGTCAAGAAAATAAAAATAAAAGGAAAAGACAATGGCAAAGGTCTCCAGAGGAATATCTTGACTGGCCGGGCAGCATGAGCCAATCAATGGGCATCTAATTAGAAGCAAGTCCCACTGCAATCAGTAAGTGCTAAATACAGTGGTACCTTGGTTCTCAAACGTCTCTGTTGATGAATGTTTTGGAACCCGAATGCTGAAAACCCAAAGTCAATGCTTCTGTTTTCGAACGCACCTTAGAAGTCGAATGGCTTCTGCTGCTTGTTTTTCAATTTTCTCAACTGAATTTGTAGACAGCCCTTTGCGCCTTGGTTTTCGAACGTCTCAGAACTCAAACGGTCTTCCGGAACGGGTTACATTCGAGAACCGAGGTACCACTGTACCTGGTGCATTTAAGATGACAGACTCAAACATAATGCTGGAGGTTGGGGCCACTCAATGAAACTTGAGTGTTGGGAGATTGAGGAAGGCAAAGGGCATAGTTTAACTAGGTACTCTTCACACAGTGCCTAGTTAACTATGGAACTCAATGAACAGTGGTGTGTGGTTCGTAAACTAGGGGGACTAGGGTAGTCTCCTAAAGGGTCCAAGAGCCCTTCTGCCATCTTCCCAAAGCTTGTTCGGATTTGGGCAGGAGGCCTCAGGGCTCCAGCATCCAGCTTGTGCCCAGCTTGCAACTCACGCGTGCAACTTTGGGACGTCGCAATGTCATGTGCGCAATGTCAGCCCCACCCCCTGCAGTTGACCTTGCAAGCTGGCAGCTCTGGCCCTAACGGTTCCCCTACAAAATAATTCACCGCGTGCCACTGTCGCTGAACTTATTGTCATAGATCTAAGGCAGCAGAGTCTGTTCGTGAGTGGTAGAAAGCAATAAATGGTAGTATTTAGCTAATGTTTGGGATATGAAAGGAAAATATAAGCTGCAGAACTGGACCAGACAGGAAATTCCTTGGTTTAGTTTATGCAAACCAGGCTGGCTGGGCTAGCTAAGGGCAGAGCCATTAAGAAACAATGGGGAACCAGGTTCAGGGTCACTGAGGGCCAATGCAAAAAGTTATCCTTTCTCTCTTCTTCGAGGAGTGGTCAGAGACAGGAGATTTGGGAGGTTAAAAAGGTGATGGGGGGTGTGTGATGTCACAGGAAAATGTATCCTTTCTGAAATCTGAAGGTGTTCTGGGAACAAGTAGGAAGAATTAGGAAGATTTATCTTGGCGCTGACTGGAGGAGGCTGCACCAAGAGACTGGGAAGAAGAGAAGAAGAAGAGTTTGGATTTGATATCCCGCCTTTCACTCCCCTTCAGGAGTCTCAAAGCGGCTAACATTCTCCTTTCCCTTCCTCCCCCACAACAAACACTCTGTGAGGTGAGTGGGGCTGAGAGACTTCAGAGAAGTGTGACTGGCCCAAGGTCACCCAGCAGCTGCAGGTGGAGGAGCGGAGACGCGAACCCGGTTCCCCAGATTACGACTCCATTGCTCCTAACCACTACACCACACCGGCTCTCCTGACTGACTGCTGCTTTGGAATCAACATTGCTGAAGCTATGAGAGGAGCAAGGACACACTCTCTTGGGATATAATGTTTTGCACCCCCCTCCTTTGAAGACCTTAGGTGTAATCCCCAAGGATGTGCTCTATGGGGAGCTGGCTTCAGGCATCAGGCCCATTGGCAGGCCAACTCTGCATTGCAAAAATGCCTGCAAACATGACACGAATAATAATAATAATACTAATAATACTAATACTACTACTAATAATAATAATAATTTATTATTTATACCCTGCCCATCTGGCTGAATTTCCCCAGCCACTCTGGGCGGCTCCCAATCAAGTAGTAAAAACAATACAGCATTAAATATTAAAAACTTCCCTGAACAGGGCTGCCTTCAGATGTCTTTTAAAAATAGGATAGCTACTTATTTCCTTCACATCTGAAGGGAGGGTGTTCCACAGGGCAAGCGCCACTACTGAGAAGGCCCTCTTCCTGGTTCCCTGTGGTTTTGCTTCTCGCAATGAGGGAACCGCCAGAAGGCCCTCGGAGCTGGACCTCAGTGTCCGGGCTGAACGATGGGGGTGGAGACGCTCCTTCAGGTATACAGGACCGAGGCTGTACTTTGAATTGTGCTCGGAAATGTACTGGGAGCCAATGTAGATCTCTCAGAACCGGTGTTATGTGGTCCTGGCAGCCACTCCCAGTCACTAGTCTAGCTGCCGCATTCTGGATTAATTGCAATTTCCGGGTCACCTTCAAAGGTAGCCCCACATAGAACGCGTTGCAGTAGTCCAAGCGGGAGATAACTAGAGCTTGCACCACTCTGGTGAGACAGTCCGCGGGCAGGTAGGGTCTTAGCCTGTGTACCAGGTGGAGCTGATAGACAGCTGCCCTGGACACAGAATTAACCTGCGCCTCCATCAACAGCTATGAGTCCAAAATGACTTCCAGGCTGCGCACCTGGTCCTTCAGGGGCACAGTTACCCCACTCAGGACCAGGGAATCCCCCACCCCCGCCCGCCTCCTGTCCCCCCAAAACAGTACTTCTGTCTTGTCAGGATTCAACCTCAATCTGTTAGCCACCATCCATCCTACAACTGCCTCCAGGCAACATCAACCTCTCCGTGCTGATGGCTGTCCTGTGAGAGGCAGTTCCATAGTTTAACAATGCACTATGTGAATAATCATTTCCTTTTATAATAATAGTTTATAATAATAATTTATTATTTATACCCCACCCGTCTGGCTGGGTTTTCCCAGCCACTCTGTCCTGAATCTTCCAACATTCTATTTTATTGGATGTCCACAAGTTCTGGAGCTAGGTGAGAAGGAGGAAAAAGCTTTCTCTACCCGCTTTCTCCATAATGGGGAAAAAGAAACTGTGCAGGTGCCTCAGGATGACAAGATGTCTGCCATCAGACTTGGCACCCGTTTATAAAGTTTTTTTATCAAAGCTGTTCACCTTCAGTCAGAAAGCCTCACAGATATAAACCCATAGACAAAGCCATCTTCCTGTACCCTCTGAATTGGGAAAGCCACTTACCTGCAGTCCTTGAAAAGAAGGTGAAATAGGCAGGGCAGGGCAGGACTTTGACTTCGCCCAGACTTCCTGCAGGCCAGCAAGTAAGGTTATCCCACATACTCCCGCAGCCTAAGAAGAAAGAGAAATGGAAACTTCAATGGAAACAGCAAAACCGAGACAAGCTTTACACGCTTCATGTGGGGCAGCACTATATGGCGGGCCACATACATCTAGGGGTCAGCAAACTTTACCAGCAGGGGGCCGGTCCACTGTCCCTCAGACCTTGTGGGGGGCCAGACTATATTTTGAAAAAGAAGAAAAAGAATGAATTCCTATGCCCCACAAAAAACCCTGAGATGCATTTTAAAGAAGAAGAACAAATTCCTATACCCAACAAATAACCCAGAGATGCATTTTAAAGAAGAAGAATGAATTCCTATGCCCCACAAATAACCCAGAGATGCATTTTAAAGAAGAAGAATGAATTCCTATGCCCCACAAATAACCCAGAGATGCATTTTAAATAAAAGCACACATTCTACTCATGTAAAAACACACTGATTCCCAGACTGTCAACGGGCCGGATTTAGAAGGCGATTGGGCAGGATCCAGCCCTGGGCCTTAGTTTGCCTACCCATGATCTAGAGCAGGCATAGGCAACCTTGGCCCTCCAGATGTTTGGGGACTACGACTCCCATCATCCCTAGCTAACAGGACCAGTGGTCAGGGATGATGGGAGTTGTAGTTCCAAAACATCTGGAGGGCCAAGGTTGCCTATGCCTGATGTAGAGTCTTCAGTTGCCTGTTCCACATGGTGAAATGGTGGGGTGTGATTTGCACAGGTGAAGCAGCACATGGAAGGAGCAACGGGTGTGAAAATCAGTCCCCTCCCGTTTTCCAAAAAGTTTTTCTGCTCTGCAAGATGCAGCCCTAGATCTGATGCATGAGACCAGAACAATGCATTGTGGAGTTTGCCAACTGATGGGGAATTCCTCTTCCCTACAAGCAATAAGAACCTACCCTGCCTCGCAAGGTTGCTGCAGGGTTTAAATGTGAAGAACCTATTTCATTTCATGATTTCATTTCATTTCATTTCTTTGCCTCCGGGGATCTCAAGGTGGCGCAAATAGTTCCAACCTTCCACATTTTATCCTCACAACTACCCTGTGAGGTAGATTAGGCAGAGAGTGAGTGACCAGCCCAAGATCACCAGGAGAACTTCATGGCAGAGTGGGGATTCGAACCCTGGTGTCCCAGGTCCTAGTCCGACACTCTTACCACTACACCACACTGGCTGCAATGTATACCACCACCTTGAGCTCACTGGAGAAAAAGGTGAGATAGCAATGCAAATGTTCCTTGCCCTCAACATTTCATCAGCCATGAATGCAGACAATTCCAGGAAGCTATTTTCACTCTGCTCTATGAAAAAAACCACGATGCCTTGGTGGAATGGTATTACTGTACAACAATCCTACACAACATCTGAGCTAAAGAAACGTGACCTACTCTGTGGCACCAGCATTTTGGCATTCCTCTGTCAGAGGGATCCAATGTGCCCTAAATAAATTTTGTTTGGATTTTATTGATTTATCTCCGCTTGTTTTGCTCTCTAGAGGTGACATTAGAAAGTGTATTGATGCTATGCGAAAAGGGATGTGTCGTATTTTCACCAGGCAGAGCTGCTTTAGGGAGGGACAAGTCCAGCTGGGCATTTTTGTTAAAACCCCAAGGGATGGAGTGAGTCAGGATACCGAAAGGCAAAAGACAGAGCAGAGCAAAACTGATTCTGATTGAGAGTTAAAACTTCATTTGTGCAGCAGGGTATTCTGCTAATTTAACTGATACGATGATACTCAGCAACTGCAAGCCTTTGGGAACATTTGGATTTTTGAGTGAGTGTTGAAGAAGAAGAAGAAGAAGAAGAAGAAGAGGAGGAGGAGGAGGAGTTTGGATTTGATATCCCACTTTATCGCTACCCTAAGGAGTCTCAAAGCGGCTCACAATCTCCTTTCCCTTCCTCCCCCACAACAAACACTCTGTGAGGTGAGTGGGGCTGAGAGACTTCAAAGAAGTGTTACTAGCCCAAGGTCACCCAGCAGCTGCATGTGGAGGAGCAGGGAAGCGAACCCGGTTCACCAGATTACGAGTCCACCGCTCTTAACCACTACACCACACTGGATTCACACACTGGCTCCACACACCCTTTTTATCCCCCTCCCTGGATCACCATTACCCACGCTGAAACAGAAAGGAAGACAAAACACTTCATTTTTCCAATGGATCCAGCAGAAATCACCACCACCACCACCATCATCATATTTATACCCCACCCATCTGGCTGTGTTTCCCCAGCCACCCTGGGCAGCACCCAACAGAATATTAAAAACACAATAGAACATCAAACATTAAAAACTTCCCTAAACAGGGCTGCCTTCAGATGTCTTCTGAAAGTCAGACAGTTGTTTATTTCCTTGACATCTGATGGGAGGGTGATCCACAGAGCGGGCGCCACCACTGAGAAGCTCCTCTGCCTGTTTCCTGTAACCTCACTTCTCACAGAGGGAACCGCCAGAAGGCCCTCAGCGCTGGACCTCAGTGTTCAGGCAGAATGATGGATGTGGAGACGCTCCTTCAGGTATACTGGGCCTAGGCCGTTTAAGGCTTTAAAGGTCAGCACCAACACTTTGAATTGTGCTCGGAAACGTACTGGGAGCCAATGTAGGTCTTTCAGGACTGGTGTTATGTGGTCTCGGTGGCCACTCCCAGTCACCTGTCTAGCTGCCACATTCTGGATTAGTTGTAGTTGCTGGGTCACCTTCAAAGGTAGCCCCACGTGGAGCACATTGCAGTAGTCCAAGCGGGAGATAACTAGAGCATGCACCACTCTGGTGAGACAGTCCGTGGGCAGGTAGGGTCTCAGCTAGCGTACCAGATGGAACTAGATTGGAACCTAGAAAACCACATAGAGCTGAAAGAGGAAGTGGGAAAGAGGGCCACTCCCCTAACTTCCTCCTTTGGCACTATGTACTTTTCAAGGGGAATTCATCATGCGAAAGACTGGGCTGGATGAATCCCAAACCGGAATTAAGATTGCCAGAAGAAATATCAACAATCTTAGATATGCAAATGACACAACCTTGATGGCAGAAAGTGAGGAGGAATTACAGAACCTTTTAATGAGGGTGAAAGAGGAGAGCGCAAAATATGGCTGGAAGCTCAACATCAAAAAAATGAAGATCATGGCCACTGGTCCCATCACCTCCTGGCAAATAGAAGGGGAAGAAGTAGAGGCAGTGAGAGATTTTACCTTCTTGGGCTCCATGATCACTGCAGATGGTGACAACAGCCACGAAATTAAAAGGCGCCTGCTTCTTGGGAGAAAAGCAATGACAAACCTAGACAGCATCTTAAAAAGCAGAGACATCACCTTTCCGACAAAGGTCCGTATAGTTCAAGCTATGGTTTCCCCAGTAGTGATGTATGGAAGTGAGAGCTGGACCATAAAGAAGGCTGATCGCCAAAGAATTGATGCTTTTGAATTCTGGTGCTGGAAGAGACTCTTGAGAGTCCCATGGACTGCAAGAAGATCAAACCTATCCATTCTTAAGGAAATCAGCCCTGAGTGCTCACTGGAAGGACAGATCCTGAAGCTGAGGCTCCAATACTTTGGCCACCTCATGAGAAGAGAAGACTCCCTGGAGAAGACCCTGATGCTGGGAAAGATGGAGGGCACAAGGAGAAGGGGACGACAGAGGATGAGATGGTTGGACAGTGTTCTCAAAGCTACGAACATGAGTTTGACCAAACTGCGGGAGGCAGTGGAAGACAGGAGTGCCTGTCATGCTCTGGTCCATGGGGTCACAAAGTGTCGGACATGACTAAATGACTAAACAACAACTTTTCAAGGGAGGAAAAAGGCACCCATCCGTACCACCTCACAACCAAAGAGGGTAAGAAGTGGAGGGCCTCTGAGGCTTTGCATGTGCCAGAACAACTCAAGGACAACTGTCGCACCCATGGGCACCATGCTGACGACTATAGAGACTAGAGGGACCAGCTGGGAGGGCATGGAATGGGCAAGCTGTGTTGGTTATGTTTGCCTTCATGGTGCTGAGCTGATGAGAGTCTATTCCTTGGTTAGGCTGAGCGCTGAATAGTAACTCAGGGTAATCCAGTTGATGTTTTGCCAATAAGAGTCAATGATAGGAGAGAGAGTCTCCTGGTGACTTTGGGTCTCTTCTGGAGAGTTTGGAATGAGATACCCCACAATAGCTTGGGGAATGTGTTGCCCCTCTAAATTCCGCCTTCTAACATAGGGTATCTGTAGCCGTCTAGCCGCGGCCTAGGACCCACGTACCTACAGGACCGCCTCTCCTGGCATGCACCGTGGAGGACCTTAAGGTCCACAAATGGCAACACCTTGGAGGTCCCGAGCCTCAAGGTGGTTAGATTGGTCTCAACTAGGGCCAGGGCCTTTTCAGTACTGGCCCCGACTTGGTAGAACGCTCTGCCACAAGAGACCAGGGCCCTGTGGGACTTGACATCTTTCCTCAGGGCCTGCAAGACAGAGCTGTTCCGCCTGGCCTTTGGTTTGGACTCAGTCTGACCCTTATGTTTCCCTCCCCTTATGGTTTTGATCTATGGGCTACTATTAAAATGAGGCTGCATTTCAAATTATATTTTAACCTGTATTTTAAATTGTTGGGTTTTTTTATTGTAATTTTCCTGGTGTTAGCTGCCCTGAGCCCTGCTCTGGCCGGGGAGGACAGGGTATAAATAAAAATTTATATTATATACAGTGGTACCTCAGGTTACATACGCTTCAGGTTACATATGCTTCAGGTTACAGACTCTGCTAACCCAGAAATTGTGCTTCAGGTTAAGAACTTTGCTTCAGGATGAGAACAGAAATCGTGCTCCAGTGGCGCGGTGGCAGCGGGAGGCCCCATTAGTTAAAGTGGTTGTCAGCGGCTGCCTCAGGTCCCAGCTTACAAAGGACCAACGCCAGTTGCTCTTTATAAACAAAAGTCTTTATTGTGGTTCATTGTTGGTTTGACATCCGTGGCGCGCAGCGCTACGTCTATAACTCTAGACCGTCGAAGCTCCCTCTGACTCTTCCCCTCCCC